AACACAACATAACCTAACCAAACACAACATAACCGAACATAACACAACATAACCTAACCAAACACAACATAACCGAACATAACACTACATAACCTAACCAAACACAACATAACCGAACATAACACAACATAACCTAATATAACACAACATAACCTAACCAAACACAACATAACCGAACATAACACAACATAACCTAATATAACACAACATAACTTAACCCAGTCTAACAAAGGATTTTATAACCTAACCTAACCTAACCCTCACAGGTAGCATTACGGTGTTTAATCATCAGGTAAAATAAGCTGAGGGGGGAGGAGGAAGAGGGGAGGAGGGGATAATCAAGTGTAATCCTTATCCCATGGGAATTTTTCTTGCACTTACACAACAAATAAATACACGATGAAATATTAAGTAAAAAAAATAAATGATGGAAAAAACATCATTGTCAATTTAAATTATTCTTTGATATTCCAGTAGTTTGAGATTTTTTTTTAAATAATAAACAAACTATTTAGATGATTTTTTTTCAAGAGTTTGATTCTGAAACACCACGCGTGAGTTTTTGTGGAGTTGCTGCCTCTCTTGTGTTGCTGCCTCTTGTGTTGTTGACTCCTTTGTGTTGCTGCCTCCCTTGTGCTGCTGCCTCTCTTCTGTTCCTGCCTCTCTTGTGCTGTCGCATATTTTGAGTTACTGCCTTTCTTGTGTTGCTGGCTCCCTTGTGTTGGTCCCTCCCTTGTGTTGCTGCCTCTCTTGTGTTGCTGCCTCCCTTGTGCTGCTCCCTCCCTTGTGTTGCTACCTCTCTTGTGTTGTTGCCTCTCTAGTGTTGCTGCCTTTCTTGTGTTGCTGCTTCTCTTGCGTTGTTCTCTCTTGTGTTGCTGCCTCCCTTGTGTTGCTGCCCCCTTGTGTTGCTCCCTCCCTTGTGTTGCTGACCCCCTTGTGTTGTTCCCTCCCTTATGTTGCTGGCTCATTTCTTTTCCTATCTCTCTTGAGTTGTCGCATATATTGTATTGCTGCTTCTCTTCTGTTGCTGCCTCTCTTGTGTTGCTGCCTCTCTAGTATTGCCGCCTCCCTTGTGTTGCCACCTCCCTTGTGTTGCCACCTCCTTTCTTGCCACCTCCTTTGTGTTACCACCTCCCTTATATTGCCACCTCCCTTGTGTTGCCTAATGTTGCCACCTCCCTTATGTTGCCACTTCCCTTGTGCTGCCACCTCCCTTGTGTTGCCACCTCCTTTCTTGCCACCTCCTTTGTGTTACCACCTCCCTTATATTGCCACCTCCCTTGTGTTGTCATCTCCCTAATGTTGCCACCTCCCTTATGTTGCCACTTCCCTTGTGCTGCCACCTCCCTTGTGTTGCCACCCCTCCTCTTGCCACCCCCACATTGTTGACGCCCAGCGGCCAGTATTATCATCGCCACCCATCCGCCCAACCTGGAAAAAAATCCACCGGAATCATTGACTACCTGAGAGGAAAAGAAATGAATACTAACAAAATAAAAATACAAAAAAGGGAAATTATACCCAACCCTAAACCTGAATATTCCTCCATTTAGGGGGGAGTATTTGGTCTGGAAGGGGAGGGGAGTATTTGTCTGGTGTTGGGGAGGGGAGTATTTGTCTAATAGGGGAGGGGGGCGGCCATCTGTGTAGAGGAGGTGGGGGAGTATTTGTCTGGTAGGGGAGGGGGGAGTATTTGTCTGGTAGGGGAGGGGAGATGGTCTGGTAGGGGAGTGGGGAGTATTTGTCTGGTAGGGAAGGGGGGAGTATTTGTCTGGTGTATTGGAGAGGGGAGTATTTATCTAATAGGGAGGGGGAGTATTTATCTGGTGTAGAGGAGGGGGGAGTATTTGTTCCTGGTAGGGGAGGGAAGGAGAGGAAGGAGAGAGGGACATATGTTCCTTCCTGGTATTCTCGGAAGAGGTGTAGGGAGGATGGATGTTCTGGGTTGAGGGCAACGTTATGGGGGGAGAAAGGTAAGTGTGCTGTATATGCTGGATGGAGAGAGGGAGGAGGGGGGTGGTGGTGTGTTGGGGACGAGGGAAAGTGAGGAGTCTGGGGGAAGGGGGGGGAGGAGACTTGAACTCTGGCATCACAAAACAAAGAAGAAACGGACAGAAAAATATTGCCAACTCATCTCCATTTCTTAATTACAGACAACACCGAAATTATTCATGGCGAGGATTTTCCCCTTCATCAATGGTCAATGTTTACACTTTTCTGGAGGCGGGGTTATAGCTTTTGCTTCCGATCGACGAATTTATTATTATCTTTTTCTCTAATCTTTTTTTTTTCTTGTTTGTATATTTTTCTGGGTTTGAGATGAAAGTTTTCCTGAGTGATAATAACAATGGTAGATAAACGTTTTTCAGTACTATTGTTTATCAGAAAGTTAAAATGATGGTTACATGAGTGGAATGGATACAGCGCTCTCCTACTGTTCCAGGAGTTGGTGGTTCGAGGCCCGGGCGCTCCCAGTTCACCCAGCTGTAGATGGGTACCTATTGGTTTACAACTTGGGGAAATGAATGCGATCAAGTGCATTACCCGCCATGCTGCCTCCTTGTGTACCAAAGGTTCAGTACACAGTGTGCTGTATCCACACTGTCTCTAACAGGCAGTAACGCCTAAAGGAAACTTTCACTAAGAGAGTGTCTAGTATTACTATTTCTAATACTGCTGCTGCTACTAATATATCTACTATTACTACTACCAATATTATTATTACTACTGCTATTTCTACCACTACTACTGTTCCAACTGCAACTATTACTACTATTACTACTTTTACTAATAATAATAAACACAATACAGGTGGTGGCAGATGGCAACAGGTGGTGGCAGACAACACAGAGAAACATCTGGTTAGAGGTGGCAGGTGCTACAAAAAGATGGTGTAGCGGTGAGTGAGAGGGGAGAATGGAGGAAGGGTGAGAGGAGGTGTCAAGTAGAGAAAGGGAAAGAAAATGAAGAGGATGAAGGGAGTAGATGAGATTAGAGAGTGATTGAGACACAGAGAGAGGGAAAGAGAGAAGCCAAAGAGAAAGAAAGAGAAGGAGAAGAGGGAAGGCAGTAAAAATGATAGATGTAGATGAAAGTAGAGGGACTTAGAAGGACCAAAAGAAAGAAAGAAAGAAAGAAAGAAAGAAAGAAAGAAAGAAAGAAAGAGAAGCATAGAGGAAATAAATATCGAAGATGAATATAAAAACATGAAGAGAAGGAGTAAATAAGCAACACACAAACAAAGGAAAGATGAAAGAGAAAGAAAGAAGAAAGGAATTATTCGTATCGTCCATCAACACAAAATCTTAAGTTTGAGTCTGAGATCACCACCACCACCACCACCACAATCACTACTACTACTACTACTGCTACTATTTTATCACTACTACTACTACTACTGCTACTATTTTATTACTACTACTACTACCACCACTATTACGACTACTACCATTGCCACGACCCCTGATACCACTACTACCATTCTACAATAATACCTAATACGATAACCACCATCACCATAACTGCCGCCACAACTACCATTTGGCTACCACTAACCACACCACCATTACCAACACCACTTTTCACCACCACCGTTAACACAATTGTAATAACTGTCTCCATCACTATTTACCCATCACCACTGTATTAACAACACTAATACAGTAAAAACCCCAATTACCAACACAACAACAACAACAACAACCAGTAATACCACCACCATCATCACCACAACTGTATCAACAACAACCATCTTCAACAATACAATAACCACCACTACACCACCAATACAACAACAACCACCACTACCACAACTGTATCAACAACAACCATCTTCAACAATACAATAACCACCACTACACCACCAATACAACAACAACCACCACTACCACCACTGCATCAACCAGCACCAACCACCCCCTCGTCTTCTTTCCCTCCCTCCCCATCACCAGTTGCAAACCTAATTTTCCCGCAAATTCTCCACAAATCAGTCTTGCAGCCACTAGAACAACATGTGCTAATATTTCGCTGGCGGCCATCCCCTCCTTCCCGCTCAACTAAGGCGCGTTCCTTTCTGCTTCGTCGACCACACTCACCCTTCCACCTCCTCTTGTTTACACTGTACCTGGTTCATTATCGACGATTCTTTAGATGGTTTAGAAGCTCCGTGTTGTCAGTGGTTCATTTTCGTGGTTGTCGGAGTGGTTGTTGGTACGTGGGGATATGGTTTGAAGGCGGTAGTTTGTCTGTGAACGATGGAGAGTGAGGCACGCGTGGGGGAGGAGGAGGAGAGGAGGAGGTTGGGGGGTGCCTGCCAGGAAGGAACTATCGCCTCTGTTTGGGGAGCCTCGGCTTCTTCGTCAAAGTTATCCCAGACTCAGGATTTCACTTTAACGGCTAAAATCTCCTTTTCTTCGAGCTTCCGAGGGAGTGTGATGGTGTCAGAGAGGTGGTGAGGGAGGGGGAAGGTGGGAGAGTGAGTGAGACGGAAAGAGAGACAAGGAGTGAGAAAGAGAGAGAGAAAGAGGGAGAGACAGGGTGGGAGGGATGGGGTAAAAGAATCTCGAGAAAGATAGCAGTGTATATAATGGCTTCCACACCGCTGTTGCTGCTGCTGACTGACACACCGCCGCTGTTTCCTTGGATCAAAGAGGTGTGTGTGTGTGTGTGTGTGTGTGTGTGTGTGTGTGTGTGTGTGTGTGTGTGTTGGGTCGTATGTGTGTTGAGTGGAGTAATACTGGTGAGAGCCACTCACACGTGCACTAAATTGTTGATTTATGTTACCGCGTTGTATTTTCCACTCTCGCTTCATCCCCGTCCTGCCATTTTTACTGTGGATTTCGTGTATTGTTATCCAGTTTAAAGTCCTCTGTGTAATCCTCCATTCTGAACCAATTTGCCGCCAAAAGAGGGGTTTGCTCCACAGTTACCAATATGCCCCCCTGATTAATCCTTGCCCTGGGGCTGTGACGGAAAGATGAGCTCCGAATAGAGCTACCGACCGCAATCAGCCGCGCCTGTGACCGCGAGGAAGGCGAGCCAGGCCCCGGAGCACGCAAGAACCACCCCTCCACCACCAGCACACTGGGGTGGAGGCAACACCCGCGCCACAGATGGAGTTACAACCCTGTAGCAGGAACAATGCCAGCACCCGTCTCTATTACGAAGGGCGGTCGTTGTAGGATATTTTTCAAAATCACTTTGAGCAATTTGCATACCTGATGAGGAACCTAATATGAGTGATCATTAACTTTATCAGCGCCCGAAAAATATTTAGAGTTTGAAAACACCGGGCAAAATTGGTGGGAAAGCGCCCGTGAATTAACAAAACTTTTGTTTTGTTTTTTAAATGCAAGTCCGCATTTACGGATTCTGGGCGAATGGAGAATGGATTGAGTTTCCGGGAGCGGGGGAGCCTGTCATCAATGCCATATCATCGACGAGCGACCAACTGGTTACATATGCGAATGTAGGACCACAAACATATGAATATTCATTGCTTGTGTGACCTACCATCCCCACCCCTCTCCACACCCGTGATTGTTTTACCTTGACAAAAAAATAGAGAAAGAGAGTGAGAGAGAAAACAGCCATCTAACAGCAAATTATTCCATCACTTAAGTAAAGTGATGTCTGCTGTGGAGGCCAGCTCACAGCACCTCCCGGGAACAGCGTCAGTACACAGAGCTGGTTGAATTAAATTCCTGTATAATCTAATATAACTCAGTCTAAGCTAAATTAAGTTAATTTATTCTAACTTCACCATTACTGAACGTAGTAATTCAAACTTAATAATCTAACTTGTTCTAACCTAATCAAACGTAACATTATCCACGTTTACCTTATACGTAAACAAACTATCTTATATAAGCGGTTTTTTTTTCATAAAACCTAATCTAACTTAATAAAATGTATCCAAATCTAACTTATTCTAACTTCTATTAAACTAAGCAAATCAAGCTTAAAACAAATTTATATCTTTAACATACTAACTTAATTTCCTCTAACTTAATCAAACCAAACTTAATTCTAACTTATTTCAGCATACTCTAATCAAATGTAACCAAATGCATCTTCCCCTAATCTTCTCTAAATTAACCTAACCTAGCCTAACCTAACCTAACCTAACCTAACCTAACCTAACCTAACTTAACCTAACCTAAGGTAAGCTAAGGTAACTTAACTTCAGCTAACCTAACATTGTATTAGGACTTAATATAACATGTTTAGACGGGATTTATTTTAGTAGCAGTGAATTTGTCCAGAAGAATATTATTTACAGGAAATAAAAACAATAACAGAAAAATAAGGTGAGACACAAACAGGGAAAGTTAATATCTCTAAATCTATTTGGTAGATAGTATAGTGAGATAGAGAGACGAACCAAGTATCTCTAAAACTGTGTAGGCAAATTAGAGATTTTGTCTGACTAATTGATAGGAAAACAAGAGAGATAAAGCAATAAAATATTTCTATGAAAATATTTAGAAACAGTGGTCACATCATTTGTAGTTAGACTCTTGAGACAAAGAGATAGAGATATATTTCAAACCAGATAAAGGAATAAATTATCTCTATATGCAGTATACTGTATGTAAACGAGAAAGAGAAAATTAAAGTATCTCTCAGTGTAGGTAGAAGAAAGGAGACACATAAACACAAGATGTCTCTTAATCCAATGCAAAAGAGTTTGGAGAGACAATGAAACTAAATCTCTCAGTCTAAGGAAGTGATAATTTTAGAGAGAAAAAGAAAGACACTGTCTCCCAGTCCCTTCAGGTAAACAACTTCAGGTAAACAAAAGACAAACAATATTAACATTATCTCTCAAACAAGTATCTCTCTTTGTCTTTCTCTCTCCTCAGTGTATATAGAGAGACTGAGAGACAAAGGAGGGAGTGTCTCACAGATGGTGGTGTCGTGGACCGGCTGGGGAGCACCATACAGGAGCGTGATTGCTTGCCCATTTGCATACTAACAGCTTCACTTTTGAGGTAAATGGAAATGATGAAATGTAGATGGACTGTTGATGGCCAGCCTTCCTACCTAGAGACAAGGCATGGCGATGGTGGTAGGTGATGGTGGTAGTGGTGATAGTAGGTGATTGTGGTAGGTGGTTGTGGTAGTGGTGATGGTGGAAGTGGTGGTGGTAGGTGGTAGTGGTGATAGTTGTAGGTGGTTGTGGTAGTGGTGATGTTGATAGGTGGTGATGGTGGGTGGTTGTGGTGGTGGTGATGGTAGTAGTGGTGATGGTGGTTGGTGGTGATGGTGGTTGGTGGTGATGGTAGGTAATTGTGATGGTGGTAAATGGCGATGGTGATTGGTGATGGTTTGTATGTGTGTTGGTAGCAGATGGTGATGGTAAATGGTAGTGTGTTGTGGTAGGCGATGGCGCGTGGTAGATGCTGCTTTATGGTGATAAGTGACGATCGTGGTAGATTGTGTGGTGTGTGGTGGTAAGGTGGTGGTGGTGGTAGGTGGTGGTGGAGGTGTCATGGTGGGTGGGTGATGGAGGTATCATAGGGTGGATGTTGGGGTATTCTCGTCGGTGGATGTTGGAGTACTCTCGTTGGTGGGTGATGGAGAAGTCTTGGGGGTGGATGTTGGAGTACTCTCATTGGTGGATGATGGAGTACTCTCATTGGTGGATGATGGAGTACTCTCGTTGGTGGGTGATGGAGGAATCTTGGGGGTGAATGACGGAGTACTTCACACAACATTACACCCGCCACACGCAATCACCAGAAAGAACACAGGTCTAAACATTAAGTGTAATTTCGTGTCATTAACTAAACCGAACATATTAACTCCATGACTTTACCCCACAGCCACCACCCAACACAGATGACGCCACCTCCCTAACCTGACACAGAACACAGCAACCCTCATGTTGTTCACTTCCGTCAGACAATACTTCACCTTAGTCTGATATCCTATCGCTTGGATGACATTATATTCTCATGTTTTCTTCTATTGTCTATTCATTGTGTTTATTTCCATTCATCTAATACAAATAAAATGAATAAATAAAGAGCCTTCTTCTTTTTTAGGGCCAAGGCAACACTTAGAAGAACTGTAGGTCCCCACGATATACACTTATACCAACCAGTCTCTGAGTCAGATTAGGGTCACTTACACACTTACATGGGGGATCTTAGAGGGGACAAAGTGTGTGTGTGTGTGTGTGTGTGTGTGTGTGTGAGGATTTGAGGGACGGATATTAGGGTGTCGATGGGAGTGTAGAGGGGTTTTTTTTTTACGATTAGCTCACCCGGCACAGGTCATTGACCACATCGACCAAATAAAAAAAATAAATAATAATAATAATAATATACAATAATAATAATAATACAATAATAATAATAATAATAATAATAATAATAATACAATAATAGAAAAAAATCATTATTGAGAAACAATACATGTATGTTGTAAGGTTAAGTAAGAGAAATAATTGAGGACCCTGTAATTGTGTGTAAATGAGGCAGAAAGGATCAGCAACCTGACTTGGTCACAATTTTCGTGATGCCATATAGCAGCAGTATTCACTTCATTAGATGAACATTATGTTTTCCAACATTTTCCCAGGCGGTAGTACTTGTTTACAGTTGTTTCCTCACCCAATAATGATAGATAGTATGATAGAGGTTGACGAATAGATGGGTGTGATGAGGTTAGGGATGGATGAAGGTGTGGATGTCGGGATGTGGATATGAGTGTTAGGGGATGTGGATGTGAGGGGGTGTGGTAGGGAGTGGGATGCGTGGGTGTTGGGGATGAGGAGGCTTTATTGGGATTGGAAATTTGGGTCAGATTAGAAAGGGGCGGGAGAAGCGATTGGTAGGATGTGTGAATTACAATCTGCTTGGAGGTAAGATTGTTCCCTTCGTATTATGTTATGGTCAAGGGTGGTTGGTGTGGCTTACTTTGGGATGATAGATTAGGCGGACATTTGGGTTAGAATAATGAGTTTATGGTCTTACCTACATTAAGGGAACTTGATTTGGGTAACAGTTAAGGTGGAGTTTGGATGTAGTCTGGGGTAGAGTAAAAGGTGAACTGAGCTTACCTACTGTACACTAAGGGAGGTTCTGGCTCACACTCGACCAGCTACCAGACCAGGTTGGGGTGAGTGTGGTGGACCATCTGGTGGTGTTGATGGTCCAGGTTCTTCAGACGTCTCTGGGTTCAGCTGGCACACCCGGGTACCCACCTCACGCCCTCGTCTGAGACCCAACACGACAAAACGGATTATCCAGAGCCCTGCCAGCTTACCTCGCTGTCCCTCCCTCCCACTCTACCTTCCTCTCTTTTCCTCCTTCCCACTCTCCCTCCTGCCCTCTTTTTTTCCCTCCCTTCTTCTCCCCAACTCTCATCCAGCACCTCTCTTCCCCGGAACACAGGATTACCTCAGCCATTCCTTTTTCCTCTTCAAGGGCTTATTTTAACGTTTCTTTTGTCTCTTCATTATTTTTTTTTAATATCCACCCCACTCTCTCTCTCTATCCCTCTCTCTCTCTCTCTACCATTACCTCCTCCCATTCACATATCTAACACTCTGAAAACATTACAAGTTCTTCTTTACATCTTACTGTGCCATCTCAAATTAATTTCCTGAACATACACCGACTCATAACTGGGACTTTCATCTCAATAAACCTGGCGAATCTCTTCTTGTTGTGATAATGTTATGAGTAATCTCTAGGCTCTCACAAAACGTTAACAACAGCGAGCTTCATCAGACTTCGTTCGTTCGGTCTTTCCTTCCTTCCTTCACATGGATTCAGTTTTCTTTACTATACATTTTCTGTTCTAAAATTTAACATTGTTTTATGGTTCAGAGGAGAAACGCTACTGTAAGGTCTTCTGTAAACACTATGTAGCTATTCCCATAAAACAAAAATTAGGACCTATTGTAAACATAACATACACTCATAAACACAATATAACATCCATAACATCGTCTCCTAGAAAGAACATACCATCTTTAACATAATACTAAGTTGTCTCATAAACATAACATTCACACAGAGAGGGAGAGATAAGCGGGGGGTAGAGAGATGGAGAGAGATTGGTAGCTAGAGATATAATTTGATTCATAAAAGGAGAGAGATCTAGATAAATAGGGAGATAAGCCGAGAGAGATAAATAACTGGAGAGACAGGAAAAAGAGAAGCACAGGGAACCAAAATGAAATAGAGAGAGAGAGAGAGAGAGAGAGAGAGAGAGAGAGAGAGAGAGAGAGAGAGAGAGAGAGAGAGAGAGAGAGAGAGAGAGAGAGAGAGAGAGAGAGAGAGAGAGAGAGAGAGAGAGAGAGTTTTGAATGTTAAGAGGTGGGAGAGATAGTGCTATCACGCAGAAGTATCAGGCGGGCTTTACGGGCTGTTTTTAAGACCTTTTTAACGTGTATCTCGACCTTGAGGACTTCTTTATGGCTGGGCCTCACTGATGTACTTGGCTGAGTCTATTTTTTTTCTCTCTCCGGGATTCTTAAATCTGACGAAATGTTCTTATGTTATTGTCTTACCCCGCCGTTATGGTTCTTATGTTATCACTGGCATTGTCATGGGGAAGTCCAACAATACTGGCACTGTTATGAAGTTCAACACTAGTGGCACTGTCATGGGGAAGTCCAACACTTCTGGCACTGTCATGAGAAGTCCAACACTATTGGCACTGTCATGAGAAGTCCAACACTTCTAGCACTGTCATGGGGAAGTCCAACACCACTGGCACTGTCATGATGAAGTTCAACACTACTGGCACTGCCATGGGGAAATCCAACATTACTGGCACTGTCATGAGGAACTCCAACACTATTGGCACTGTCATGAGAAGTCCAACACTACTGGCACTGTCATGATGAAGTCCAACACTGTCATGGGGAAGTCCAATACTCCGGGCACTGTCATCGGGAAGTCCAATACTCCGGGCACTGTCATGGGGAAGTCCAACACTACTGGCACTGTCATGGGGAAGTCGAATACTCCGGGCACTGTCATGGGGAAGTCGAATACTCCGGGCACTGTCATGGGGAAGTCCAATACTCCGGGCATTGTCATGGGGAAGCCCAACACTACTCGCACTAAGGGATATATGATAAGCTGTCACGATACGCTTCTCTTAAGTGTCTTAGAATACCAAGTTACAAAGATTATTCCGGTAATTGCCATTATATCTGTCTTTATTTCACCCTAAGATTAACCACCCTAACACTATCTTGGGGACAATGAGGTTAGGTTAGGTCAGGTTAGGTTAGGTTAGGTTAGGTTAGGATAGGTTAGGATAAGTTAGTTAATCTTTAGGTGAAATAAGCTAGGGTGGGGATTCTTCAGGTGACTCCTCTTATTCTGTGGATGCATGTGAGCTAAAGTCCTTTGTTTATCACATCGATAATTTCTTAAATAACTAACTAATGTATTATTGTTGTTTATCTTGAAGGGTAAATATTTTCCTAGTGCCTTTCGTCCTCTCTTCTCTTCACGTCCTTCTTCACGTTATTTCTCATACAACAGTTTACCCAACATACCCTGACCTGACCTGACCTGACCTAACCTAATCTAACGTAACCCAACAAACCCTGACCTGACCTGACTTTAAAGTATATTCCTTCCCCAATGAATAAATTTATCCTTGTCCAATATTCCAAATAAGCCATAAAACATATTCTTCCCTCATTTGCATACCTCTCTAACTCTCTCCTTTATTCCTGTAGTATTATTTGTTGACAAGTTCAAGACCTGTTTCTACCTTGTCTTAAAAACTTTTATACATTCGGCTCCAGAATAAAGAGAAGACCTTCGTGTTTTGTCCAAAGTTGAGAGAGTGTGGGAGTGTGGGTGTAAGTGTAGATGAGAGTGTGGGTGTGGGTGTGGGTGTGGGTGTCTGTGTAGGTGGGAGAGTCTGAATGATAGTGTAGGTGGGTGTAGGGGTCAAGGTCGACCTATCTATGGCTAAGAGATAGAAGAGGAAATGACTCAACCAACTTTATTATAATATCCCATCCGGCTTACTGGCAGTGTGTCCGGCTACGTGGGGGAGGGGGGATATAGATGACATGTGACGAGTGTGACGGATATAATTATTCATAGTGTGACGGATACATAAGTGTGCTGTATACGTCGTACGATAGTGTAATAATAATAAAAAGAAATAATAATAATAATAATAATAATAATAATAATAATAATAATAATAATAATAATAATTGGGGTAGTGGGTCACCTGATTGTTGACATAATATACAAGTGATATAAGTGTAAATCTCGCTTATCCACCACCACTTCACCACTACCACTTCACCTCCCCCTCTTTACTTCCCATTTCAGTACCGCTTCAACAACTCCCCGTTTCTCTCCCTTGCTTCACCGACCCAGCTTCACCAACCCGCTTCATTCCTCTTTTAATTTATCCCACTTACCAACCTCATTTCACAACCTCTTCACATAACCCCCAATTCACACTCGCTTCATTGACCCCACTTCAACCCCTCTTCACTGACCCCGCTTACCACCAACTCTCGTTACACCACCCCAACTTCAATTTCTCTTCATTTAACTCCACTTCATTCCTCTCTTCATTCACCCTGTTCCATCACACCCTCGTCACTTACCTCGTATCACACCCGCTTCACTAGCCCCGCTTCACCGCCTCGCTCCCTCTGCCAGGATATCATGTGCCTGATAAAAAGCCTGTGTGTGGGGGAGGGAGGAGGGGGAGGGAAGGGTAGGAGAGGTAGGAGGGGGAGGAGAGGTAGGTAGGGCAGGGAGGGAGGGAGGGGAGAAAGGGAGGGAAGGATGAGGAGACGCAGGGAGGGAGGAAGGGAGAGGGAGGAGAGGTAGGGAGGGAAGGAAGGGAGGAGGAAGAAAGACAAGGAGGGAGGGTAGATGTAGGGAGGAAAGGTAGAGGAGAGGCAGAGAGAAGAAGAGGGAGAGAAGGGAGAAGAGGTAGAGAGGGCAGGAAAGGAGGGGGAGGAAAAGCAGGGAGGAAGGGGAAGAAGGAAAGGTAGGAAGGGAGAGGCAGGGAGGGAAGGGAGGGAAGGAAGGAGGAGGGGGGAAAAGGTAGGGAGGGAAGGAGGGAAGGGAAGGAAAGATAGGGATGGATGTCAGCAGGGAGGGAGAGAGGGAGGAAGGGATCTCGGCAGGGAGGCAGGGAGGGAGAGAGGGGTGGAAGGAGAAAGGAGGGAGGGAAGGGAGGGGAGGGGTTGGGAGGGAAGCCGATAACCCGAGCAGCTATCAGGGGGCCGAGATAACGGGCCGCATATGACTGGTTCCCTTAATGATATCAAGTCATACTCCTCGCGCCATTACGTTGATGTAATTATTGGTGATTCACACAGATGAGACGGCCAGTGGGGGAGGAGAGGGAGAGGAGAGAGGAGAGAGGAGGGAGAGGGGGAGGAGGGAGAGAGGGAGGAGCGAGAGAAGAACGGAGGAGGGATAGAGTGAGAGAAGTGGGAAGGCGGGAGGAAGGGAGACATAAGAAGGATGGAGGGAGAGGATAAGAGATAGAGGGAGGGAAGGGAGGATGGAGGAATAAGGGTGGGGGAATGATAGGATAGGAGGAAGGATTGGTAAGGGAAAATGAAGGAGGGAGGGAAGGGTGGAGGAAGAAGTGGGGAGAAGATGGATGGCTGGAGGGAGAAGTGGTGGCTCGAGAGGGATGGAAGGAAGGAAGGAAGGAAGGAAGGGAAGTGGAAAATGGAGGGTGGGGGAGGCAGAAGTGTAGGTAAGTGCATGAGGGAAAGGAAGGATGTGAGGAAAGAAGGGGGAAGAAGAGAGAGGATGATAGTGGAAAGGGGGAGAAGAGAAGGATAGAGGGAAAAAGGAAAAAAGGGAAGTAAGGGGGAAAGATAAAAGAGTAAGAAGTTGGAGGGGGTGACGAAAGGAAAAGAATGGTAATGGAAGAAGGTAGGGGAGAGGGTGATAACTGAAGAGGGAAGTGGGATAGAGAAATTTAAATTAGATCAGAAGGAGAACGAGAAGAAGGAAGTATTGAAGGAGGAGGAAAAGGGGCAATGAAAGAGGGAAATAAAGGAATAGGAGGGATAAATACGGGTATGAAAGGGAAACGGGGAGAAAACAGGAGGGGTAAGAGAGACAGAGTAAAGAGAACTGGAAAGAAAAGGTGCTGTGAGAGCAGTAGAGAAAAGAGGAGGAAGAGAGGAGAGAATTATTAGAGGAATAAGGAAGTCAAGCAAGAGAGAGAGAGAGAGTGAGAGCAGTGTAAAACAAGAAAAAATATGAAGAGGAAAAGAAGAAAAAGAAAAATAGGAATAAATAGGTAGAAGATGAAGTAGACTCGTGGTTACGAAGAAGAAGAAGAAGAAGAAGAAGAAGAAAGGAATAAACAAGAAGGCGGCAGCAAGGAAGGTGGTAAAAGAAGTGCTGTAGTTGCTGGTGGACCATCAGTCTTCCAGTACATCAGCAGAGATGGAGTGAACCCTACCAGCCTGGCCGTGTCTCCCAGTACTAGAGAGAGCGAGACACAGACACACACCCCGGGGGAGGACAGCACACCCCAGGGGGAGGGCCACACACACACACCCCGGGGGAGGACAGCACACCCCGCCCCGGCGCTCCTTCACAAATACAATTACCACATTTTTATTGACCATTCGTCATTATTTTATCACATTAGTGTATCACCGACTATTAATTAGGTTTGGGAGGTTAATGAGGTGTCGAGTATGATTAAATTAATTCTGGTAGAGGCAAGATAGACCCTCTACTCACAGTGTTACTTTGTCAGTGCATAGAAATACATAGTTGTTCATATAGAAATGTTTAGTGAATTCTGTATAATGTTGATACCCGGAGTTCAGTTGTTTTATTGACTAGTAGATCAATTTTTGGATGTTATTTATGTTAATGTTAAATTTAAGACAGACTGAGATAATGCGTTGTGTTTTTTCATTAGATCACATGACATTCTTCTTATTTTTGTAACACATATTTATCCAGACTCAAAGTGCTGTAGAGTTGACGTAATGAAATTAATATTATAATGCTCGTACGGTAAATAGTACTAGCAAAACAAGAAATTTTAGAATGTATTTAACTGAATTACTGAAGATAAAACCACAAAATAGATCACCCCAAAAATGAAATCAAAATTACACTTGAGTAAATATATCCATCACTGCCAAACAAAACTAACACAAAATTAATTAACCATAAAATTATCTCCTAACTGTTAATAAGTGAAAATATTTACATAAGGCAAAGTCCCAGTATAATTCCAATGTTATTTATATATATATGTAATATCTTTCCATTTCATCTTAAGTCCACAAGTTAGATAGACTCTACAGTTATAAGGAGTCTACACGAGCTTCTGAGTCTCTGGACATAGGACACAGTGTGGTAGTGAGGATCAACAGAGATGTGTGTACATACAGTAGCTTATTAGGTGAAGGACAGACACAGATGGACAAGTGTGAGGGTAATTTTTTATAGAGTGAGTGACGCGAGGGATTAGTTGGTACTTTCACTACGGGGGTCTACTCTCTCCTGCTGCTGCTGGTGGTAGTGGTGGTGGTGGTGGTGGTGGTGGTGGTGTGGTGGTGGTGGTGGGGTGGTTGTTGGTTGTGGTTGGTGGTGGTGGTGGTGTGTGTGTGTTGTGTGTGTGTGTGTGTGTGGTGTGTGTGTGTGTGTGTGTGTGTGTGTGTGTGGTTGGAGTAGTAGTAGTAGTAGTGATGGATTGATGATGGTGATGGGTGGTGGCGGTGGTAGTTATGGTCGTAGTTGTGGTGCTCGATTAAATTATTATTGTTATTATTTACTAATCTGGGGAGGGAAGTGGAAAAGCATGGAATGGATAAGGAACTAGGG